CATTTTGATGAATCACCGCCTCCACTCCAAGATGAGTGGCTCTCCCCTGATGAGATTGAACTCAAGCAGACCCGGAAACAGTCCCGTCCCTTGCAACAAGGGAGAAGAATGTGGCAGGATGTTACTTCCCATGAATCCAGGGATGATTTCTCCTATCAACCGCCTGAAATGTCAGCTCCAAGGGAGCCACCAGATGTGTCTCCAAGGGAGTCCCCATCTCCCATTCGCTCTCCAGCTCCCCTATCTTCAAGTTGGACCAGAGCTCAACCAACTGAGTACCCTGCCCCTTCACCGGTGCCACCCAAGCCGGCCCCTCCAGACACATTGCAAGCAACTTCAACTGTTCCAGCCCGGCGCAATCCATCTCGTGCCGATCGACCTTCAGCTGATCGGGTACAATGGAAGCATCGACTGAACATAGACCCAAAGCTCAAGTCCTACACTGAGCCAAGCGCCCTACTATGCACTACCATCGACCGAGTGTCTGGGCTTACTCCAGCTGCTGCCCACATGATGCAAGCCCAAATTGCTGGTTTCAACCCCAACACCAAAGCCCAAGACTACCTACATCCAGGAACAATCCAAAGCCCAATGGCAATGAAGGCCAAAGCCTCCAAGGACCCAGACTTGCCATCTCTCAGGGACTCACTATCAGGTCCATATGCTGAAGATTTTTGGACTGCAATGGACAAGGAGATCACCAGTCTTGAAGGTAAAGGTACTTGGGAAATTGTGCAAAGGAGCTCCATGCCGAAGAACTACAAGGCAGTTCCTGGTACTTGGGTTCAGCGCATCAAACGACTGCCTACTGGTGAACTCAACAAGTTCAAAAGCAGATGGTGCTGCCGCGGTGATCTTCAGCCTTACGAGGGAGTGGCCTACAGCCCCTTAGTTGGATGGCCAACTGTACGAGCTGGACTATTGCTTGCAGCTGCCCATGGTTGGACCTCCAGGCAAGTTGATTTCACTCTTGCATTCTGCCAGAGCCCACAGCCCAAAGAGAATCCTCTCTACATGGAGCTGCCCCAGTTCTACAAACCAAAAGGATATGAAGATGAGGATGTTGTTCTCCGTTTGAAGAAGAGTATTTATGGGCAAGTCGATAGCCCCAAATTATTCTATGAACACCTTTGCCGAGGAATGGACAAGCTGGGATTTGCACCTGCTGACTCCGACCCTTGTCTGTTTATCCACAAGGAGCTCCAAATCATGGTGCTCAACTACTGTGATGACCAGATCTGGCTCAGCCCCGACAATGCTCTCATTGAAGAATATGTCTCCAAGCTATAGCATTTAGGCTACGATCTCACCATGGAAGATGAGGGAGACATCTTTGGTTTCCTGGGCATCAACTTCAAGCAAGTGGGGTCTTCGATCGAGCTAACTCAATCTGGACTCATCGACAAGGTCATCAAGTACACCGGAATGTCGGATGCCTCCACCAGGGACACTCCAGCAGCTCAAGACCCCTTGGTACTGATGCTGATGGAACTCTGTTTGATGAAGAATGGAGCTATCCTGCGGCTGTGGGAATGCTTCTCTACTGCTCATCCAACACTCGCCCAGACATTCATTTTGCAGTGCACCAAGTGGCCAGGTTCAGCCACTCCCCGAAGAAGTCTCACGGGCAAGCCCTCAAACGCATTGTCCGATACTTGATCCAAACGCGAGACAAAGGAATCACCTTTCAGCCCAAGTTGGACCAAGGTCTTGACTGCTACGTCGACGCAGACTTTGCTAGGCTCTATGGTTATGAGGATGAGCAGAACCCAGTATCTGTTCACTTGCGCACTGGATTTGTTCTCACCCTGTTTGGCTGCCCCATCATCTGGTCCGATAAGCTCCAGACCGACATTTGTCTGAGCTCCACTGCTGCTGAGTATGTTGCATTCAGCATGGCAATGCGAGAACTGCTTCCAATGAGGGTACTGCTCAAGGAAGTTGGGACCAAACTCGGGCTTGATCCACTAGCCAAGAGCATGGTGCGCTCCACTGTCTTTGAAGACAATCAGGGTTGCATCAGTTTGGTCAACGTTCCCAAGATGTCTCCAAGGAACAAGTATTTGGCCCTCAAGTACCATTTCTTCAGGGGCAACATTGGGGAATCCAAGGGCATTGTTGCCAAGTACATTAGCACCTTGGAACAGCGCGCCGACATCTTGACCAAAGGGCTTCCTCCCTCCCAGTTTGTGGTCATACGGAAGCTTCTCATGGGATGGTAGGCAACATAGCCATGGCTGCTGTATGTTGCAATTCATCGACTGCAAGGGAGTGCGACGATAGTGCTCCAGTCTTGAATGGCTCATGGTATCTTTGGTTGTGCTTGCCGCATTGGCAACTACTTTGGCAACCTGCTGACACCTTTGGCCCATGAAATATTGTTTGCATGGACATCATTGTCCACCTAGAAATAGCTAGCTATAACCTGCTAAGCCTCAGTTATTTGGAATTGCCAGTATTGTCGCACACCCCCACTACCAATGCTCCAAACCGATGAGGACCTGGACGTGGACGCCGAAACCATTGACAAAATGGAAGATGATCCCGACGATCACCAGGCCAACGACACCGAAGCATCAGAGGTCAGCGAACCGAATGAACCGGCTACCCAACCTATCGTTGAGACGGTAGAGGAACCGGAACCGACTACGGACCAACAGCCCCTGGAACAGATCCCAGGAGTAGACGTTGAAGCCCAAGCCGCACCTGAGCAGACGCCAGGAGTACGCAGGTCCAGTAGAGTGAGGACGCAAGCAAAGGAATCGTATATTCCCAGCTTTGACGGAAAGAAGTATGAGACGCCAAATGTCCATACAAGTGAACGTGTTTTGCATCCAGATGCACACATGTTCTACACACAGGTAGACGAAGAACCTGATATGGTAGCAGCCATCATGACACAGTTGTCATTGAAGGCTGGACTCAAGGAGTGGAAGGACAAAGCGCACGATGCAGCCTTTGCCGAGATGAAACAGTTACATCTCAGGGATACCTTCCGTCCGAAGAAAATGGAAGAACTCAGCGAAATGGAACGCAAGAGTATCCTAGAGTCACACCTGTTCCTAAAGTTGAAAAGGAACGGGAAGATCAAAGGCCGAGCGGTTGCCGGAGGCAACAAACAGCGTGACTTCATCTCCAAGGAAAACGCAAGCTTGCCAACAGTGTCGACAGAAGCAGTGCTACTCTCCTGCATAATCGACGCTGAAGAGGAAAGGGATGTGGCAGTAATTGACATCCCGAATGCCTTCATCCAGACACGAGTCGAGGATGAAAAAGATATGATAATGATTTGAGTGAGAGGAGTACTAGTATACATGCTGTGTGAAATTGCCCCAGATGTCTACAAACCGTTCGTGACAACGGATAAGAAAGGCAACAAGCAGTTGCTACTGCAATGCTTGAATGCCATCTACAGTACCATGGTAGCTAGCCTACTATACAACCGTAAGTTCCGGAAGATGATGCTCTGGAACGGATTTAAGATTAATCCTTACGACCCATGTGTAGCCAACAGAATGGTACACGGCAAGCAACAGACAGTCTGCTGGCATGTAGACGACTGTAAGCTTAGCCACAAGGACGCGAAGGTTAACGACCAGCTGATCCAAGTGCTTCGTGATGAATACGAAAGCGTATTCGAGGACGGCACTGGAGAGATGACGGTGAGCCGCGGAAACGTCCACACGTATCTCAGCATGACCATAGACTTCACGACGAAGGGTCAATGCAATGTATCAATGTACAAGTACGTTGATGAAATCCTGGAAGCCTTCGAGAAGGCATCGCCAGAGGAAGGGGGCACGAAGACTAGAAGTAGTGCAGCCCCAAAAGACCTATTCACAGTAGACGAATCCTGTAAGAAGCTCCCAACGAGCAAGGCAGACGCCTTTCACAGCCTGGTGGCTAAGGTGTTGTTCGCTACGAAGAGAGCCCGACCAGACACAGGTACGGCGATATCGTTCCTCACGACTAGAGTCAAGGAACCGGATAGGCAGGATTGGGATAAACTAGTCCATCTCATGCAGTACATTAGGCGTACTAGAAAACTACCATTACTTCTCAAAGACGACGGAAACGGCATATTGAAATGGTATGTAGATGGTTCTTTCGCAGTCCATCCAAACATGAGGGGTCATACCGGAGGTGGTTTGACCATGGGCACCGGTTACCCAATATCGAGTTCGACGAAACAGAAGTTGAACACGAGAAGCTCGACTGAGAGCGAACTCGTAGCCGTTGATGACCTGATGCCATCGATCCTTTGGACGAGGCAGTTCTTACGGGAGCAAGGCTATGTAGTTAAAGAAACTATAGTCTATCAGGACAACAAGAGTGCCATACTTCTAGAAAAGAATGGCAAAGCTTCTAGTAGCAAGCGAACGAAGCACATCAACATTAGGTACTAATTTGTGAGCGACAGAGTCGCAAAGAAGGAGATCAGTGTGCACTGGTGTCCAACTGATGATATGGTTGCGGACTTCTGGACGAAGCCGAACCAAGATCGACTGTTCAAACAGAATGTGGACAAGTTGATGGGTGTAGTGGAACACTCAGAGCCAGGGCACTCGGTAGGAGGGTCACGTCACGGCCAGACAAGAAGGTCCGTTCGAAGAAGGAGCGCTAAGCAGGGTAAGTAAGTGAGCATGGTCGACGACTAGGACAAGCTCGACGACCACAGGAGTGTGTTGGGGATTCGCGATTAGGGATTCAGCCCTTACCTCAGTAATAGAATTTCACACCAGTAGAAAAACTGAGCCCACCCACTTTTTCAGTAGTATCTCAATAGCACGACAATGGTAAACTAGCGAGCTTAGTGAATCTAACAAATGCAACTGAAATCTTCTCTAGCTAGAGCTCTACCGGGCTACACTGAGTAGGTCTTCGATAGTATGAGCCCTAACGTGTGATGGGTCTTAAACCCAGATCATTCTAGTTGTAATATTTCAAAGTCTCATTTTTCCCTTATTCCAATCGCAAAAAAAAAGTGATCTTCCCATGACCTACGTACAAATGTTCTGATCTTTTAAGGCTTTTAAGGCTTCCAGTGGTTCTCGGAACTCAGCTGGGAAGGTCATCTTGTAGGGCAGGGGGGGGCTTTGAGGAGGCTTTATCTTAAAGCTGTATGTGATTTTGTCTTCTTTGGGACATTTATGTGGTATGGGGACCCTATGGCCCGGACCTTTCACTTCACCCCAAAACCAATATTCTGTATCATCACCATGAGCGTGCATCTTGGGAGCACCATGGAAGTGCCATGTTTGGATAACGGTACATCCACTGACACCCAGGGCTTCTGGAATCCCTTCTAGTAGGGCCCAAAGGGCCGCGTTCTCACCACCATCTTCGTTCATTTTGAAGAAAGCGGTCTCATGGGTTGAGTCGTTCATCATTTTTACAGTGGGACGCTGGAAGTTCTCTGCTTTTAGGCGACCCGCAATGAGTTGTTTGTGAAAAACATAACCATCCCAGGAATATACCCAGAAATCGTTGCATCTGGGTAGTATCTCTGCATGATACTCTTTGGAGTTTTCCCCGTGGACAAAGTTGAAGTGATCCTTGATTGGTGAAGGCACAATATCTGGTTGGAATCCCCAGGTTGATAGTGCAAGTACAGTGGTATTCTTGATGTGCTTGGCCCACTGCACAGAGTCATCAAAGGCTTGATCAGCATTTTCCACTATGACAACATCCCCCTTCACATTGCTTCCAGTTGCAAGAAGGAACATCTGGTAATAGTTTGGTTGTTCAGAAATCTCGACGCAATCTAGTACCGGCTTTTTTTGTGGGCTTTGGTACGCCTCACTGACAATGCTGGTTTGCATCTTTTCATCGAATCTTTCTTGCAGTTGGGCCATCCTATATCTGAAATGAGTGCAGTTTGATTGTTCAGTAGCATGATCCAGGAAAATGAGAATTTGGTCAAAGTGAGGATTGTTGAGGTTATTCAGCATAGCTGCTTCTATTTCTTGGCGATGGAGATTTGTATTGTTATCCAATTGCACTGCCCAGAAGCTTGTGACAAGAGAGAGGGAAGTAGAAGTATCCAAGGAGAGAGGCGGTACATCTGAAATTGTGTTCTGGCTATGGAGACTCATCATCACTTCAGATCTGAAGGTGAGAGTCAACAGCAAAAGCGGTATACCAAGCATTAGGAAGTTCTGGTGCCTCCTTGGCGTGAGAGGAAATTGATGAGGACGGTACATGTTGCAACACCAACAAATAGAAAAGAACAAATGCCAGTGTAGGGCCAGCGTCAATGGAGAGATCAGGGCGGTAGAGATCAAGTGTGGTAGACATGGAGCTTAGCAATTGGTTCAGAAAGACTTTAAAAAATTAGAGCCTGTCCAGAAACGTATTTTTGGTCAAATTCAAAGGTCAAAACCGGAAGCTTAAAGTTTTTTTCAGTATGAATAACCAAGCAACTTTCCAGAGGTGCAGGGGAGGAAAGAAGCACACAAGCAATTTTGGAGAAGCATAAAAGCACACAAAAGGGCACCACGGAAATGACAAAGGAAGGAAAATGGATCCTAACAGAGAGACTGCCGACATACATAAGCCACAATTTCATAAGTACCACAGTAGTCAGAAAAGTGGCTTGCTGTGTCTGGGAATACGAGAGCCGGCCCGAGGCAAACGCAAGGTTGGCAGCGGGGATGACATTGAAATTGTTGGTTCCTCGCGTCCCTCATACCACCCAAATGGAGATGTGATTTACCTATAATGCGCTGTCTTGGGAGCCTTTCATCTGCTCTCATTTTTTTGTGTCCTGCTTTTGAAAAGTTTCTTTATAACTAACTAACTGATTTTAAAAAGCTGGTAAGCTGAAATTAAACATTCTCTGTCCCATTTTCTTTTGCCTTGACCGAGCCAGTTGGCGAAGTAAGATGTGTGTGGCAATTGAAACCAGCGAGCCCTATAGTTTCTGATATAAAGGACTTTGCACATTTTTGGGATGAAAGATACCGCTAGTATGCAAGTACAGAGCACCTGTTGAGCTATAAGATACTTATAGATCCTCCAATACTAACGAGCGTGTTGGTTGCCAGATCGAGCGTGGGTATTCCTGCGCGGGTACCACTCCTTGGTCCCTGCGCTGGCACTATGGCTTTCGTGCTGTTGTTGGCTTTCCTTGCCAAGCAACCTTCCTGCCGGTAATCCTTGTGGATTCTACTGATGAAACTCTTCCTCTCGACACAAAGATCCTTCGTCGGCCGATCTTGTTCTCGTCGCGTCGTCGCTCGTTGCGTCGTCGCGTTGCTTGGATCTGTCCTCAGATCTTCTGGTCGCTGTCGTTCCTTGACAGGCTTCTCTCGTTGCTGTCATTTTGATAGTCTCCTGGTCTTGTGCTTGTTGTTGATGCTTGCGTCGTTGTCGACCGATCCTCTCGTCATCGACTGATCTTCGCGTCGTCCTCAACGGTCTTGCTTTGGCACGGCGGTCTGTCGTCCTCGACCGATTCGCTTCTTCTCTTCGTTGCACCGACCGCTGCTCTATCTGTATCTGTTGTGGATAGGCAGCCTTTTTCAGTAGTATGTTAGATTCACTAAGCTCTCTAGTTTACCATTGTCATGCTATTGAGATACTACTGAAAAAGTGGTTGGGCTACCAGTTTTTTTACTGGTGTGAAATTCTAGTACTCAGGTAAGGGCTGAATCCCTAATCGCGAATTCCCAACAGTCAGATCATGTGGGCGCATGAAGATGTCATTGTTAGTTAAGAAGGGAATGACTCCCGCTATCTTTTTCAGTGAGTGAACACTGTCATAGTGATGGCTCTGCACATAGAAGGAGGCAACAAAGCAGCCTCTGTTGTCTTTGGGATTTCCCCATGACATTTTCTTTGCATTCAGCATGATCTCCAATTCATCGACCGTCATCTCTTCCAGAATCTCCAAGGCGTGACCTTGACCATCTATATCTCCATCTCCTGCATGGTCGGCAAACCAGATATCATTGTCCTCCTCAGAGTTCAGTAGGGTGAGTATCTTCATAAAGTCTGCCATTGGAAAGTCCTCAATTAGCGGCATCATTGTTTCCAGCCTGACTCCAAAGAAGTAGACTGCATCACTCGGCTCTCCCTCCTCAGCATCCTCAAAGCCATCCTCATCCTCATTGGAGTTGTTACTGTTTCCATGCTGATCATCAGTCCCAGGGTCTCTTTCAGTTCCTTCCTCATTGTCTTCTCCAACATCCATATCCCGACCCTCTGTCCGCGAGGCAGTGGCTTCATTCTGCTTGGATTCCTGAATGGTTAGATTCTGCACTGGAACCGTTGACTGATGCTTGGGTCTTTCCTTGTTCTGAGATCTGTCATATTGATGAGAGCCTGTTGACATGTCAGCTGACTTGCAGGTTCTTCCTCCGGCTCCAACAACTTGACCTCCACAGCTTGCTTTGGTATCCTCTGATTTGACTTTTTCCCATTTTCACATCTTCTCCTGTGGCAAGTGAATCAGTTGCCTCATCTTGTTTTGACTCATTGATATCCATAGTTGCCTCATTCTGATTGGTTGCTGGCTTCAAAGACTGATGACCAGATTGGTTGCCGGCATCAAAAGTAATGTATCCCATGTCCAACAGTTTGCTACGCAGCTCTGAAGGCATTGGAATGCATCTCCTCTGCATATCTTGAACTGATGACTTGATAGCACTGTCTCTAGAGGCATAGTTTGGGGGTGGATGTGGATTCAAGTGTGCCAGTTCCATTTCCAAGTAGGAGATTTCCTGGGCTCCATCCTTCTCTTGCTTGCAGTAGTCACAAACTGGATCCTTGGGTCTGGAGGTGGCTAGCTTTTCACAGTGACAGCGTCTTGGATTGACTTGGAATGCTGGTGTAGCATAAGTGGTGGGTGCAGCCGTTTGCGGAGAGCTGTTGTCTCCGTGTTGGCCTTCATGAGAGACCCCTATATCTGGGTGGTGTGCAGTGCTGGTAGAAGGTTTCTGCAAGCTGGGATTGTCTGTTTGTCCAGTAGCCATAGCATCAAACACTGGAGCAAGTATCTTGACTGGGAGCATCACTTCTTCATCTTGAAAGGAATCGTCGCATGCGTGGCAGTAATGACCAGCGAGGGCATCATCCTGAATGCCAAAGAGTTCTGTAGTCTCATCATTGCAGGTCATGGTGGTGGCTTCCATTGTAGCATTGCATTTGGGACAGTGACTTGGCTTGAGTGTCGTGGCAGGCTCCCAGCAGGTACCAGTCACCAGCTCCTCACCCATATCCAATTCTTTTGCCTCATCTTGCAGATGCTTGATTCCTGCTGCAATTTCTGCATCTGTTTTTTTGTTTTTTTGTTTCTTTCATCCAGTTGGATGTTGTACTTGGTGACAACAGCATGGATAATGGTGATGCTGGGCGTGTGTCCATTGCCAAGGGACCTTGCAATGGAATGAATTGCTTGCACCTACTGCAATAGTGAGTAGGATCAGTACTAGCTGTTATTCCAAGGAAATCAGCTGTTGAGTCACTCAGGCAAAGCACCTGTGGAGCTACCGGTACACCGCAATCAAGACATACAACAGGCATCGTTTCCACCTTCGAATCGGTGTAAATTTCGGGAGCTGAACCATCGAGCTGCCATGACTCGGCCTTTTGAGAAGCAGCACCAGAAGTCAGTATTGATTGGAAAGAGTCAATAGCTGACCGTTGCCCAGGGCAGACCGCCATCTGCGCCATTTTGGTTCCAACCACCTTGACTGCATGAGCTAGATCCGTAGCTGCCACAGTGTTGTTGTCTCGAATGTCATTTGTAACGACTTGTGTAGGCTGATCTTGTGCGTCTTTCACCGGAGTAGTCAGATCTATTGTTTCTTTAGGATTTCCACTGGTGCCTGTAGCAGCGGTTGCGTGGAGTTCCATTGTATCTTTGTTGTCGGGTTGGATTTCGTTATTCTTGTTTCCAGCTGATGGTTGACTTGGATTTCCATGTTGGTTTGATCTCTCAATCGTTTGTGATGAAGCCGTTTGTTGATTACATAAGTAGTGCTGGATTGACTGTTTGAGGCGAAACTTGGATTTCTTTTTCCCCGACAGAGTGGCAATTTGTTTGGAGCTGTTGTCTGGTTTGTGATGTTGCCTATTGGTGGATGGAAGTCTGCAATAGTCGAAGAGACAAGTTTCGCGGTTCCAATTGCTACATCCAGAAATCGTTGCTGTAACGTGGTCGTTAGCATCACCTTGCCGCATACTTTATCAGTAGGTAGTAGCGGCCATGCTGTGTCATTCCTGATGTTCGAGTTTGCTGTGATGAGCATGAATTTGTGTTGTGCTTGGTGGTAATTTTGTTTCTGCCATTGCCGATGGAGGACTCCGAGCCGTCCAACTTTGGTTTCTTGCTGCCGCCAGTTGCGTCCGAGATTGATTGTCCTATAGTCGGCCATTCCTTGTCATTGCCATCTCGTGGTTGGGTTGCCACTGTGTGATTGGACGTGGGCAGCAGAGCCGCCTTTTCCTTATTTACTCCTGATGTCGTAGGTGGCTGTCAAGTTGCTCGTTGGTTGTTCTTCACGTGACAGTTTGAGTGGCGGCCATGATGCAGCATTATTGGACGTTGCTTCGAATGCATCCACCTTTTTGTTTTGTTGTTGGTTTCGTTTCTCTTGTTGTTGCTGTTTAGTTGAGCTGCTTTTTCTGGATTTTGACTACTGCGTCCCGGTGTCTCCAACACAACCGGTGTTGTGACAGTTGTCACAAGAACTGGGGGCAAAGGGAGGGGTGTCGGTTCAATTTTTGTTGGTGGTTTAGCTCGACGGATGCGTTCGGAGCGATGTGATAAAACAGATGCGCCGCTATTTCCATTGATCCTGGGTGGGGTGTCGGCAGCGGAGGAGGCACCAATAGATCCGGTCCCATTAGTATCAAGTGTTGTAATGGACGTATCATCGTCGTGTTCATCGTGGCCTTTGTTTTGTTGCAGCCATTTGTCATCTTGGTCCATTAGAAGGAAGAATTGGTTTCCCGCAAAGTGGGAGTTAGTAGTTGTAGTCCTATCGGTGTTGGTGGGTGTTGCACCGCCTGCTTCCGTGGAGTGGTTTTCTTGGTCCGAGGATATCGACAAAGTCGTTGTTTGTTTTCTGTTTGTGTTTCTGTCACGGTCATTCGTATGAAATTCCGTGCCCAAGCTACCTTCCTTGTTCGATTTCCATGGTTTCCAGACCGTTGCCGCTGGCGCCAATAGCTGTCGTCGTTGTCCATGTTGTTTCTTGTTGTTTGCCAAGCTCGTCTTGATGCTACTAGCTATCTTTCGTCCCCGGAATAGACCACAAGGCGCCATGGTCCTTTTTTTCTTTTCAGTGGCTGAGGAAACGGCAAATTTAACAGCACTAATCTGAGAGTCAGTGTGCGTCCGAAAAGGGTGATTCCAAATCGCAAGGATCTAGAATTGTAGGACCACCAGTACACTATTCCCAAGCACGGTGGTCAAGACGTCTGTATGGCCTGGGCTCTAAAAGGCAGCTGCACCTCCGGATGCAAGCGCGCTGCCACCCACAAGCGTTACTCAGCGGCTACGGTGCAGAAGCTCCACACTCTCCTCACGGACTGTGGAGTTGCTAATCCGCAGCCCTGAGTTTCCACGTCTGGACTCGCCACCCGTACTATTGGAGCTCCCGCTTCTATCTCGGTGGCATCCATGCCTCGCAAGCAGTTTGGTCTCCACCCATTTGATCACGATGTCTCTCCTGTGAAACCTCCAAGGACTAACAGGAGCACTCCTGCTCGCAAAAAACCTTCACACGACGAATCTACCACTTCAATTCACGCCCTCTCACATGCAGCCTTGCTGTCAATATCTTCATCATCAAAGCGGTCGGCTGGCCTACTGCCCGGATCACCTAAGAAACGCCGACCACCTTCATCCACTACATCAAACACTACTAAACTACTAGCCCTGTCGTTGACACCAGATCAATCCGAAATGACAGACTAGGTACGTTAGTCCAAAACCTTTGCTCAGCCTACTCGAAGGCAGAGACGTGGGAGTCCTTAGTCACCAACTTCAGAGGGCGCTCCTACCTTGCTCCGAACCTGGAGGATGTCGACCATCCTGCCATCCCCTTGCTCTGTCACTGGAGAGACCATGGTGTTCCGTACAAAAAGAATCACCTCCCTGGACGACGGAACAGACGGAGGAATGCATCCACCACGGCTGCCACAAATCTGCTACCAAGCATTCCGACTTCCTCCGTGAGGAATTTTCCGAGTTCACCGAGAACAAGTTCTGGGCTGTCCTTCCCTTCGACCTCGTCAAGGACGAACCCTCCCTTCTTCTATCTGCCGCTGCAGTCAAGGTGGAACGAGACCGCAAACCCCGACTCATCAGCGACCACACCTGGAACTGGGGTTGGCCCTCCATCAACGAAACCACATCACATCACGCGCTGCCCGAGGCCATGCAATTTGGAAATGCCCTGCCGCGCATCTTGTACGATGTGCATCACGCGAACCCCAAGTTTGGACCTGTCCGACTCTGCAAACATGACATCAAGGACGGCTTTTCCGGCATGTTCCTGAACCCTTCCGACTGCATCCGACTCGCACTTGTGCTGCCTCGCTATGAAGGTGAGCCCCAACTGATGGCCGTCCCAATGTCATGTACTATGGGATGGGTCGAGTCGCCGCCCACTTTCAGTGGCATGTCAGAGACCACCTGCGACCGAGCAAACGGACGCTTCCTGAAGTCCCCAGGGCCTGTCCTCCACACAGACTTGAGCAACATGCCAAGGCTATGGATGACCTGGACCTGTCTACCACTCCTAGACCACGGGAGAAGGAGGAACATGCGGCAACGCAAGAACTCCTTGGGATCGCCACCTCCCCCTTGGAGGCCGAACCGGACCACTTCGCGGGACCCTCGAATAGACCCTTGCTCCAGCCCATCGGGCGAAATGATGTGTTCGTTGACAACTTCATCCAACTGGGCCAAGGAGGAAAGACCCGTATGAAAGCGCTACGCAGGCACTTACTACACACCATTGACGAGATTCTCGCACGCCCCAACCTCAGCCAGAAACACCGAAATGAAGCAGTCTCGCTCAAGAAGCTCCTGCAAGGAGATGGAAGCTGGGCTACTCGAAAACTCATTTTGGGATGGATCATCGACACCCCCCGACAGACTCTGGAACTTCCACCCCACCGGAAGCAGGCGCTCGCTGACATCTTCAAGGAACTAGCCGGGTGTCGCAGAGTCAGCCACAAGCGCTGGATGCAAATCCTCGGCAAACTGCACTTTGTCTCTGTAGCCATCCGGGGCACCGCTGGACTCTTCAGCGCACTCCAGCTCGCCCTCACGGAGTCCAAAGGAGGCAGAATCCGGATCAACGCTGCGCTGAGATCCCACATCGATACCTTTGCTGATCTGGCTGCCAGCCTCTGCCACCGCCCAACACACTTGGCGGAGATCGTCCCCCAGGACCCATCCTTCTTCGGCGCCACTGACGCCGCCAAGGCAGGAATGGGCGGTGTCGACTTTGACTCCGAGGAAACTCCCTACCTATGGAGGTTCCCGTTCCCTCCTGATGTGCAGGCTCAGCTCATGTCCACGGACAACCCTAACAGTGACCTCGAGCAATAAGCCGCCATCCTTGCGCAACACTCCTTGCAAGCGGCGCAGCACTGCGTCACCTACGCCACCCTCTACACTCTCTCGGACAACACCCCAGCCGTCTCCCGAGTCTCCAAAGGGGCGGTCACCTCGGATGGTCCTGCGGCGTTCCTCTGCAACTACGCCTGCCGACACCAGCGAGAGCACCGCTACTGCGCCCTCTCGTCCTACATCCTGGGTCCTGCCAACGTGACGGCTGATGATGTGTCGAGTCTGCAACACCTCACCCTGCCTGAACTTCTCGCCCACTTTGAACAGCGCTATCCACAGAACAGACCCTGGCAGGTGTTGACTCTGCCACCCGAGGTCAGTTCACAGTTGATCTCCGCCTTGCGCTGCAGACCGCTTCCAAGAACATTGTCTCCAAGACGGCCGCCGCCCGAGACCGAACCTTCGGACGATGGTGTGACTTCTGCGTGGGCCTCGGCGTCAACCCATCCCTCTGTGATATCCCTGACCAAGAAATCCAAGCCTGCTACCTCCTCGGCCAGTCTAACAATGTCCAAGCTGACTCAGTGG